CTTATTATTATTATTATTATTATTATTATTATTATTATTATTATTATCTTCCATGCGAACAACCAAACACAGTAATGTAATATTTCTGAGAATTTGAAAAAGATTTCTGTATAGAACCAAACACAATAATATATTATTCCTATGAATCATATTACCCTCCATCACTTTTCTGTGAATATGATTCCTACTGATTTCTGCATACGAAACGCCCTCTAAAAGTATGTCACATCAGCAAAGTCTATCAAGAGTATTGACATAATTGGATAGAGGAGGTGTTTTAAACCGTTTTCTATATGTCAGGGGATATTTTAAATGTTTTAAAATCTCGGGGGGTACTTTGAAGTAGGGTATTGTTCAACCACAAGCGTACGGTGTCGAGTTTTAATAATAAAGGGTAAGTGAGTATCGTCTTCACAAAAATTGAGTATTAAATTACCGTTAAGTATTGAGACTATCGTAAGTCAATTTTATTTAGACAACCGAACTCAATAGAATAAAAATAGAACTAGTATGGAAACTTATGCACACAAATATACTGGAGACTTGACTTCACCTTATCATTCCTATGTTCATCCTATCAAACAATTGCTAACCACTTCCACTCAATTCATTGATCAAGAGACTTAATCTAACCTCATTATCTCTCCCGAGCATCAAACGAAGTCATATGCATGAATACCCGAATCAATATTCCTATCTAACCCGTTTACTCTTATACTCATTAAGTTTAACCCTTAAATTGAAAATCAAATGTCGATCGCCACCCGACCTCACAACAAGTGAAATCCTAGTTGATAATTAAGGTATTTATTACCTACCGGTCTCACAATATCCTAGATTCTCAATGAGATTATCTAAGCGTCGATCTCTTCCCAGACTCACAACAACCTAGATTATGTTTTCCAATTCAGGACTATGAAATCAATCCCTCATGAGCATCAAAATCACACTTTAAAATTATCTAACTCTTTTGGCCACATAAATTAGAAATATTAAGCATAAAGAAACATAAATAAATTAGGATAAATTGCACGAATGGTTCCCAAACTCTTTAAAAGGTGAAAGTTTAGTCCCCAACTTTTTTTTTGATGAAACGAACCTTAAACTATTTAAAAGGGTGCAATATAGTTCTTTACGTCAGATGTCGTCTATAAAGTAGCATAATAATCTAAAAGGGTGACGTTATGGTCTCTTACTTCTTTATGAGGTGATTTTTTAGTCCCAATCGACTTTAATAGGTTAGGATTTGGTCCCTATTTTTGGACGGCATTTAACGGAAAAGACAACATTGCACCCTTTAAAATAGTTTAGGGATCGTTTCGTTAAAAAAAAAAAAAAAAGTTTAGGGACCAAACTATCACCTTTTGACAAGTTTGGAGACCATTCGTGTCAATTACCCAATAAATTAAGATGTAATTTAACGTACAATTGACAAGATAATCAGATATGGTTCAAATAAAGCTACATCAAGCCCTAAAATATGAGGTCTAGCTCAACATAGAGGAATCCATAACCAAATTCACAAATTTAAGAACAAAAACTAAAAATAGAAAAAAAAAACTACAATAAAAAGGGAGAAGGAAGAGAAAACTTTTGTAGAGATGAGCTTTAAGTCTTCAAATCTTTAAGAATCTCTCCTAAGCATTCTTTAAAAATATCCAACTCCAAGCTTCTCTCTCTAGGAATTTTTGTGCCTCTCATCCTCTCCAAGTTTAGGAACTAGGGTTTTTTTTGCTTAAATATTCTCAAGCATGGAAAAAATCTCAGCCAAACTCATCCAAGGGTCCAAAATTAGCCATTCATATTGATCAAGGGCTGAAAAATGGCCCAAAGTTCGTCAACAGCATGCAGGAGGGTGCGGCAGCGTGCCTGCGCTGCTAGTGGAGCACCCGCATGCCCAATGTGGCGTGGGTGCGTGGGGTGTGGCGCGGATGCGCGCCTCAAGTGGCACACCCGCACAAGTGTTCTGTCCAAGAGGGCCTTTGTGCGGCATTGAGTGCTTTGGGCTCTAATTTTTTACTACAAAATGACACTAAGTCTCATTTTATTATTTTGCTTATAAAATAACACCAAAAATACATTAAACTAATAAAAATATTTAAACTAAAAAATTCTTTAAATAACCATCTCATCAAGTATATAGTTCGAAAGTATTTATAAAAATATTCCTAAAAAAAAAAAAAAAACTAGTACAAATATGTCCTTGTTTCTTCTGCCTTTACGCTTGTTTATACAGTACTCTCATCTCAGCAATAATGTATCAATTCCAGCTCAGAGCAACTTATTATTTATTTTTCAAAAAAAAAAAAAACACCAAGCAAAATAATAATAATAATAAAACCTCAGTTTCATTCACGTGGGTGTAGTTAGCTAGCGGCCACCATCGTTAGTGGACTGGACCCAGTGACCAACATATAATCAAAGAAAAAGAATACATTCATAATTTAAAATGTGCGTCTTTTCAGAAAGTTGTTTTTCATTGCGTTGGTGGATGCTTTATTTTGTCGTGTGTAAGTAAGCTGGTATATTAATATTAGGACCTCCTATCGTGTTGACTGCAATAGTACTCGTGTTTTGGTGTTAATTTCGTTTAATATTCTTATTGTATCGTTTGATGACTTCTATCTTCTAGTTTTATCAATTTCAGTCATCTTATATATGTATATATGAATTTCCAAAAGCTTGTAAAATATAAATAAGGCCAATATTACTCCCTAGCCTTCAAAACCTAACCTTATATTATTAAAATCATTTCTATTTTGTATAATATTCACTAATAAAACAACATTGATAAGGGCACATTTTTTAATTTTTAAAAAAATGAATAACTTGCAACCGAGGGCACGTGATGAACATTGACATGTGATTTTGTTTGATTTTCCTGCTGCTGAATTGGAGTTGTCATAATAAATACCAAAATAAATACGGAAATATACAAATATCGATCAAGTAACGTGAAAAAAAAAAAAAAAAAATGAGAAGCACGAGAAATTTGACTTTAAAGAATATACAACATGCATAAAATACTTTTCTAGATGCCTAGCTAATCCACATTACCACGCGCCTAGCTAGCTAGCAAATTAAATTGTTAATTTGGATATTCAGTACTTCACCTCATCTAGAAATTAGGCATAGCATTGGCCAATTTGACTTTTGTTACCACTTTATTATGTGTGTTATATATAATCATATATGGAAAAATGTTTAGAACAATATGTTTGGTGTTCAAGCCCAAAACTAATTATGACAATTTTATGGAATTCATTTTTTTTTTTTTAAATTAGTGTGCAATGTTGGAAAATGGTAGAGAGATCCTCATTGATCGTATTCCATAAACATATATACTACACGTGCCACGTAACATTGTAATTATATATAAGGCAGTACGGAACGTTGTCTAGGAATCATTTCTTATTACATAAATATATATTTATATATTATATACTTTGTCAAACTCTACCACTTTCTTTACGAGAGAAAAGTTTTCTCAGAACACAGAGACTTTGATCATCGTAGAGAGGAGGAGAGAGGAGTAGAAAATCATGTCGACACTTTCTTCTTGTAATCATTCTCTCCTTCACGTCACAAGTACCTCCCGCAGATCATCATATAATCGGCCCTCAAGCCTCAATCTCTCAGGGGGTCTCACCTGTCACTTTCTTGGAAATCAGAAGCTCCAATCGCTCAATACTTGCCTTCTGCAAATAGTACAAAATGGCGGTAGAAGCACAAAGATGTAAATATCCTCGCGTCTAGACTTCACGATTAGTACTGTTTCTCAATTTGTACAGTAATATTTTAGCAGCTCTATGTAGTTTGTGAACTTGTTAAATGTTTGTGATCTGTTCAGGGATATGAAAGTCAACAACGATATTTTGCCCGACATTCCTCAACTTCCTTCCAATTCTGATCCTGGTTCTTGGTAAATTTTAAGTCAAAGCCAGTATAAATTATAAATCTATATATATATATATACACACATATCTGTGCTATATCATTTTCCCTTCTTGTTTCTTTTTGCACTGTTTATTTATTCCATGTTTACTTTCTATTGATTATACCAGGAAATTATGGCTTGTGGGAGTTTTTATGTCAGTGATTATACCCTTTTGGAAGAACAAATGGAGCCCTCTACAGAAAATACAACGTAAGGATGTAATAATAATATTGTTGATACCAACATCGCATTAATTATTTGAAATTAGTCATGATTAAATTAGTGAATCAAATTTTATGTGATGTACAGAGAAAGTGGAGAGAGTGGTGGATACAGCACAAGCAGTGACAGATATGGTGGAAGATGTGGCAGAAGAAATAGAGAAAGTGGCTGATAGTCTTGGGGATAATCTTCCAAAGGGAAAGCTTCAAGAAACTGCTCTGCTTGTTGAAGAAATGGCCAGCCAAACTGTTGACAACATCAATCGTTTGGAGGAGGTCCTTGAGAAGGTTTTTCTTTTTACCTAACCTCATCACCTTGACCAGCTTGTTTTCTCTCTCTCTATTTTACTTATTTATTTTTGGGAGAAAGAGAAAAATAGGTCAAGATTTTAAATGAATTAAAATTAATAGATAAATAGTTTACATAAGTTAATAAATAGGTTAAATTACTGTTTTCGTCCATAACTTGTCTGGTTATAAACCATAACTCGACAAGTTATTATCCATAATTGTCCATAACTTGTCTAGCTATGAACCATAACTTAACAAGTTTGTTCATAACTTATCTAATTATGAACCATAACTTGACAAGTTATGACCTATTAATTTCTATAACTAAAAATTAGCATATATACTTTCTTAAGCTTTTTATATTGACATATTTTTTACTATTTTCATTTATTTTTTAATTCACGAGCCCATCATCATTTTTCACGTTATTATTATCAATTGTAAATAGCTTTTTCACACATGAGAAAATCGGTGATTTCATTCTTTAAATACGTTATCTCATCCTTTAAATACATTATTTTAAAAATTTTACTTTTATTCTTAATAAATATATAATTCTCTGACTAAAAGATGTTAATCAAGGTAAGCGTGGATTTATATTATTAATTCCATGTGCGAGAATCACGTGAGTTTAGATTTTCTGATACATTAATCCAAATTATTAAATGCCCCATGTAGAGATAATCTATATATTCTGTAGCTGGCTAATATCCTTGATTGTTACTCTCTTTTAACAAATTTGACTTTTGTGATTGGTCACCAATAGAAATTGTAAAACAATAGTGGCCCACATGTTATCAATTATTATCATTCATTTACTAATTTATTCTTAGGCATTATCAGAGCAACAGGAATCTTACATTATTTCGTTTTGCAATAATGGGCATTGGGGGAGACTTCTTTGGTGCTTCCCAATTAGGTACCGTCCATAGCACGCCCATAAGTCATTTCTTTCCCTATTCATTAATTTTGAATAGCTATAGAAATATATTACAAATATCACATTTATTAGGAAAATGTATAATTCTCCATCATTGGACAATTTTTACTAAAGAACTTAAAGTAAATATAAGAACTAAAGGTACATTTGGTTGCAGTGACAGAATGGTAATGAGAATGATAATGAAATCATAAACTGATTCTTTAATTTAGTTAGAGTTATAGAATCAATACCTAAATGAAGATTATGTTGTTTGATTGAGAACGGAATGGAACGAAAGTAAATTATATTTTGACAAGAATACCTTTAATTAATAATCATCAAGTAATTTAAATATTTAATTAATTAAAATAATAAAAATAATAATTTAATTATTGAAAAAAACTTTTTATTTTAAAGATAAAATTTAAAAATTATATTTGACAACGCCATATGGTGGCGTTGAGCGTGAGCTCCGACGATGTACGGCGGCGCTGGGTGTGAGCTTTAATGATGTTCGGTTGGGTTTCAACGTGGGTTGGATTTGAGAGCGAATAATGGGTTTTTAATTTTCTTTATAAGATGGAAAAGGTAGTTGGCCTCAGTTGGAGTGAAGGGTAGTCGAAAGGTAGCAATGGAGAAATTTGAGAAGGGCAATTTGGAGAAAAAGAAAAAGAAAGCTGAATGGAAAGATCTTTCCTCTCTCCCCCACGTGAATGCTAATTCACCCAATTTAGGTGAATGGCTTTCAGTTGGTGAATGGCTTTCAGTTGGAAATGCCTTTCTGAAATAAACTTGTCAACCAAATGATGGAATTGGACCATTTTCTCTTAATGATATTTCCTTTTCATTCTATTACTCTCAACCACCAAACGCACCTTAAGAAAGATACAATAAGAATGAAAATGCTCATTTATTTTAAATAGATTTTATTTTTTCTATATTTTTTTATTTGCAGGGTTTTTGTTATTGTTTAGTCAAAATTGTCAGTTGACTAAGAGAAGAATATGCTTTTTTTTTTAAGTCAACATTTTGGTATGCTCACATGCTTTCATTCTCTCTCTCTCTCTCTCTCACATAAAAGATAAGGATATTTTTATGGTATATGATCGTGTTGTATGAATATAATGGTCTATCCAAGCAAAATCAGAACTATATATATCAAAAATCAAGCAAATCTGATAGAGTAGTCTAAGTTTGTGATAGATATAGAATTATGTAGTTTTATTAAAGTATTTTTTTAATCTAACGCATAAATTTCTTTTTTCTTTTTAAGATTTTATATGGTTTCCTGTGAGTAATTTTATTCTCTTTATTGGATGACTACCATCTAGGATCAGAACTTAATTCCAATTAACCCTAATATTGCATACAATTTGAGCCTCATATGAAGTTGACTATACGTATTTTGCAGGTTGAGGAGGTGGAGAACAAGGTAGAGGAATTCCTTGAAGAAAAAATGAAAGAAGAAGAAAATGATAAGAAGAAGTCAACAAAGGAAGAGAAAAGTGTGAGATCAGCTTGAGATGTTATATAATATTAGTTAGAATAATTTGTATTATTTTTCTTTCTTATCTCTATATTATGGGTGTTGTATCTAGTAAGATTTATGGTTGTTAAACTCTATAATAATATATATATATTTTTTAACTTTTTGTAGGGAATTTGTGGCCTTTTTAGTAATACAATACTATGTTGTTGTAGACTAATATCAAACGTGTGGTTGTAGACTAGTATCAAATATTAATCACACGATAATAGTTAATCTGTGTATTAATCACATGATAATAGTTAATCTGTGAGTATGATTACATTGTTATTTACTGAGGTTTACGTTTGAAATTACCTACTAGAGAGAGAGAGAGAGAGAGAGAGAGAGCATATCACCTACAATTACTCATAAATGAGAGTGAAAATTATGGTCATAAGTGTAAACATCAATTAATCTCATTTTAAGCTAAATAAAAGTAACAAGGTCATTTCTTAATCCTAAAGGTACTTACAAGTGTTATTTTAATGCAACTATGGACAGTTTTAGTATTTTCTTTAAAAAATTAATGGTTGAACATTATAGTGAACTAATATAAGGGGTGTCTCTGTATTTTTTTTTTTTAAATCTAAGTGAATGTTGACATAATCAGTGAAAACTCATTTTTTAGTTTTGATGAGCGAGTGTTGACACTCATTTTTAGTTTTGATCAGTGAGTGTTGACATTATGAAGAGCCTAGTTGATTCCTAAACTTATTCATTATTTGCAGTAAATAAATTTTTAGATATATATGAAGAGCCTGTATGTTGCGGGTTTGAACTGCAATTTAAATACATTTATTACAGTTTTCTTCTCATAAAAAATAAATTTTAGCTTAAATTTTATACTCAAACTTGTGAACAAGATGATCCAGAATAAAACTTACGAGCCTTTGATTTTGGTCCTTGGATGTAAGATCAATTATTTTTGTTAAAATACGTCTATTGTTTTTTTCTGTTGTTTTTATTGTTCTACGTTAGAGGCCTTAATTTAGAAAAGTTTCTATTGATTAAGGGGAGGAAAAAAAAAAAAGAAATTTCTCTAGTAGAATTCAAAAAAAATGGACTACCAGTAATTTCTTACCTTTAGCCGTTAGATCTAAGGCTAATTTAGTATTGTTGTAGCTACATTGAAGTCAAAAGCAGCTGCAACATGAAGCAGCTATGCGTGCTGTTACTTTTAAAAATTGAGCTAAAGTGTTTGTTCAATGGTAATCCTAAACTGCTGTTAACTTATAAAATATCCAAAATAGACATGGAGATAAATTGTTTTTAACTATATTTTAAAAAGTTAGTAAAACATTTTTTTATACATTTTGCTATATAATTAGAGTTGGACATTTCAATTGCAATTTTTAAAATTTTCTTAATAAAATAAAAAAATAAAAGAGCAAAAATACTTGATCTAACCATATATGTTTTGAAGTCGAACATACTTAAAAATAAGACAAACAAAAATAGTATATATCTCCTAGCTTTATACAAATAGAGGTGAATGCACATTTTCAAGCATTCATCAAACTTCTTGCTATGTGATCACGTAGGTTGTCCATTTCTTGTGATCTTGGGACATCAGATGGCTCATCTATGATTTTCTTAAAAGAAGTCTCCTTATATAATTATGCAATGTCATGGTAGCAATGACTATCTTTACTTGTTTTGTGAATGAGTAACTAGGCATATCTCTCAGGATCTTCCATCGCTTTTTCCATGCTCCAAACGTTCGTTCAATGACGCTTCTAAGAATCTAAGGGAAGAGTGTTTATAGTTAAATACCTCTTGGTAACCAGTTGGTCGACCACCAGACTGAAATTGTGGAAGATGATACCTTTGACCTTGACCTTTATATGGCCCTAAATAACCTTTCATTTGTATCCCACGTCTACCAAGTAATATTTGCCTATTGTACACAAAACAAAGAACATCTATGCTTAAATAACAAAGTAAAAATCATATGAGATTGTATATAAATATACACATTATACATAGATAATATATCACTTTTTGAAATTGGAACTTCTTCAGCAGAACGTTTTCCCTTCTTCTCTTTGGATAAATTCTCGACATTATTAGGGTCATCTGAGTCACCACCACCTTCAAGCGTAATCACTTATTACTCTCAGATGGAAGCAATCCAGATGACGGTGCCCATGAACCATCGCCGGTGGCGGTTATGTTCATAAACATCTTATCATACCTTTCTAGCATGTCGGGGTCAATGCCCTCCTTGCAAAACTTTGCTGCATTGGGATGCACCTGCAAGATATGATTTGCAAATTAAAATAAAATAGTCTACCATCATTTACTCAATGTAAGTACAATAGTTTGCATTTTTAATGGGGTACCTGCAATTTATTCTGCCACCATTTTTCGGATGCATCAATAGTTTTCTTCTTTGTATTCCATCCTAAACCAGTTTCCTTGCCAACTAATTCCTTCCATAATTTCCAATCATTTTTAAGTGCATCTCACTTGTTTTTCAAGCTGTAACTTACCACACTCTCTTCCGGTAGCCTTATTAAAGTTTGTCACAATTCGTTCCCATCCAATTTTGCTAAAGTGAGACCCAGGTCGATGTCCCTCATCAACTTCTTTGACACATAAATCACAAAATGTTGCTATAGCATCGGCATCCCATATAGCTTTACTCTTTGGCCCATTACCCCCAAATTGATCAGTGGAGTTGCCAACCTTTTTATTGTTTTCCATCTAAAATACATCCATTGTTATAAGACATATTCTAAACTATTACCACGAATTCAAGCCAAAAAAAAAAAGAAAGAAATATAATGTTCGCATGCAGCCAACACATGCTTCAATAGAGATTATTAGTTAGAAGAAAATAACTTCAAGTAGCTATTTGAACATCAACAACAGATCAGATCATGAAAAGAGAAAAAAAAAATCGGTATTTTGAAAAAATAAATAAATAAAACATGTTTTTTTGGTGAGTGCTTATACGAAAGAGAGTCTGAGTGCTCACTAGAGATCTTAGCATGAGTAGGCATCAGAAAAAAACCAATAAAATCTTACAAAACTCAACAAACCCAGAAAATCTGCAGATCACAACAAATCTAGAAATAATCCAACTTTGAGAAGATCCAAGCAAAAATATATATATATATATATATCAAAGGAGAGAGATTCGATAGGGATGTGAAAATTATAAAAGCACCTGTAAGGAAAACGATTCGGCAGCGACAATGGTGATTGTGGCAAGTTTGAGCGGCGGAGTTTTGTGTTCTCGTTCGTAGAACAAGGGCAGGAGATGAGAGACGAAAGAATGGGGGAAAAAATAACGAAAGAGAAAAGGGCTTCACACAAAAGACAAACGAAAAAAAGGGCAAACGTGGTATTCTTGTAAAGTTGTAGTGACCTTTCGGTAAATAACCATTCAAATGGCCGGCTTTCTGACGGATTGTTTCGTAAGTGGAAGTAGTGCTGAAATTTTGGACGGGCCGTCTGCGACCGCTTGAAAAATTCAGGCCGTCCGCCTGAGCCCGAATTTCACCTTGAAAGGGTCGCGGGCTTGTATTAGGCCGCCCGAGTAGTCTGAATTTTTTTTAAAATTTTTTTAATATTAAGTTATTTTGTGTTAAAATTTATATATATATATATTACAATTTGAAATTTGAAATGAATATCTATAAAAAAATTATTTCTTTATTAATTTTTAAATTTGTAATTCATGATTGTCTCGTTAAAAACCTTATTAAGAAAAACCCAATTGGGATAAAAACTTGACAAGAAAAAAAGAGTGCAATCATTTTGTGACGAATTACAAATTTTATAAACTTACAAAGTTATACAATTATAAATACAATATCAAAGGTAAATACATATTTACAAATTACAAATTTACAATTTAATTTGAAGCTGAGGATCGTCTTCAAAATTAAATGTTAATCGATTAAATTCATTGATTCATTCTTGGCTTGCCGGTGAAATTGTATCTTGTAGACGTTGATCGGTTCGATCCCAATCCTTAATGCAAACCAAGGCTTCAACAATATCCCTTTGCAATGCATTCTGGCGTTCCTCAAGTATGTTGGTCTCTGAATCAAATTCGAATGCGGAAGCACGGTGGTGCGAGGAAGAGGCGGATCATGTATAACAAAAATTTTCATAAAACTTTTGAGATACTCTATAGATTATATTAATTTATGCACGAATAATTAATCTCATTAACTTATATATATCAAGAACTCAATCAGGAAAAATACCTGGAAGCTGACTCGGATGATAACTTGAGTTCTTTGACCACGAACAGTCCTTGCTCCAATCTTTGTGTTTAGAAAACCAATGTCTTCCACATCAATTTCTAGAATCCACGAAGACGTGTGTGTGGGCACACATGAGACAAAACGGGTTACAATAAACACTCGAATTTCCACAAACACCATCACATGCACGATGTGGAATTTTTGGAGAAAAAATTTTTCCTTCCTTTCTCTCTTGAGAATTTCGGCCAGCCTTAACCAATTAGGGCTGAAAAATTATTTCCTTCTTTCTATAGAGAAATTTCGGCCACTTCTAAAATTAGGGTAAAAAACCATTTTAAAAATTGTCTCAAAAATAGTATTTATAGAGTAGAAGTCAAATTTCTAGAAGGAATCAAATCTCTATCTCCAATTTAAATTTCGAACCAAAATTCTCCTCTATCCCTTATCCCTTATGGCCGGCCATGCTAGGGATTCCTATCCCTGTGTGTGGCGCCAATACTGGATAAGGAAGGAAGAGAAAATCATCCTTTATCCTGTAGTCCAATTTTATTTCAAATTCAAATTCAAATTTAAGTCAAACTTAAATTAATTTGAATTCTAAATTGAACAACTTATCAAATAAGTTTAAATGGATAAATCTAGATGTGTTCAAATTCAAATTTAAATAATCACATTATTTAAATAATAATTAATTCTCAATTAATTATTTTCGAGTATTTAATTTAGAATTCTGTAATTCTAAAATTTCCATTTTGCCCTCTGTGTCTGGTAGAATTACTAGGACGACGCGAGGACTAATGGACCTATAATCCCGAGCTCCAATAAAATTAATAATCAATTAAACACTTTAATTAATTAATTAATTCTATTAATTCCAATAGTTACTCCACTATAAACTTAGAATTGCACTCTCGAAATTATAGATATAAATTACTTCCAAACTGTGAAGTGTCCATTTGATATAGTCATTGCATATAGATCAATCCTCCAT